GGGGCTGATCATGGCACCCCCCACCCGGCTGGCACCCGGGGCGGACCGCCCCCCCCGCCCCCCCCTTAGTACGCCACTGTGTTCAGTTCATATCAGAGCCCCCTTAGGCTCATTTACAGTTTTCAATGGAAATAAAAGAAAGACATTTGTAATTAAATGTTATTATGTGTTGCTTGTCTTTAAAATATATATCTTTATAAAATCCTGCTTATACACTCCTATTTCTCCATGTATATCATAATTTTTGAAAAGAAATAACTTCAATTCTATTCAAACTCATTTATTAATCATACAATTTGATCTCTATTATAAGCAATGGTTTCTCTTATATAAAATACATGCAGAACTTGGACACAGTGGAAAAAGGGTGGCTTGTGTTTAAAATGTGCATTCTTATGAAGTCCTGTTTGTGCAAACATATTCCACCTTTTATTTATAAAATTCCAACTGCTGTTTATTCTAGTTAATATGAATATGTAAAATTGGCATGAATATATGTACATTTAATTATTCATTGTTCAAAGCAGTGGAGTTTAGAGCCTAATTTACTTGAAAAGGCTCTAAAAAATGTGAGTGTAGATATATCTGTTACTCACCAAAATCTTTACTAAAGTATTTGACCTACTGCACAATTATCTGTATATATTTCTGTTTTCTTTTGTATGCACATTACATTGGAGAATATAAAGGATAATTGTCTTTGAATCACAGGTAATTCACTGTGTTCTTACATATAATACAGCGCTGCACTCTTAAAGATAGAAGACCTAAAGGGTGGTAACACCCATTCGGCCTGAAATCTTTTCTGTATCTTGGTGATTATCTTTGTATGGTGGGTTTTTAGGAGTACTCATAAAGTGTATACAGCAGCTATAATTCACTGTTCACATTTATTACATTTATGACCCAACAATCAGTATCAAAAATAAATTTGACAACTTACTAAGTAAAGGAAAAGAAATAGAAATATTAAACGAAAAGGAATATAAGTACATCAATATTATTAAACCAAAAATCCCAGTCTTCTACCACCTCCCCAAAATCCATAAACATTTAACCAACCCTCCAGGTAGACCAATAGTCTCAGGGATAGATTCTGTATCCAGTAGGCTATCGGAATACCTAGACAAGTGTCTACAACCTCTGGTTCAAAAAACTCCAAATTACCTTAAAGACACATTAAATATTATACAAACACTACAGCATATTCAATGGGAACCCAACTATATCCTAGTAACGGCTGATGTTAGTTCCCTTTATACCATCATTTCGCACACGAAAGGGCTAGAAGCAGTAGAATTTTTTCTCAAAAAGGACAACACCTATCCAGAAGAACAAATAAGTTTTATCATGGAAGGAATAGACCTTATTCTTCACAACAATTATTTTTGGTTCAACAATTAATTCTTTCTACAGAAAGTCGGTACTGCTATGGGGACAAGGTTCGCTCCGAGCTACGCAAATCTATTCATGGCCTATTGGGAAACACAATTTATAGATAATAATCTGGAGTGGGGAGCGAGCCTTGTCTCCAATAAGCGGTACATAGACGATATTTTTTTAATCTGGAATGGTTCAGTGGATCTTTTAAAAACATTTTTAACCTTTTTAAACACAAACGATTGGGGAGTGACATTAACCACAGAATACAGTAAAGAAAGTGTCAATTTTTTAGACTTAACTATTTTTATAGAAGACAATAGTATTAAAACTAAAACTTTTTTTAAACCGGTAGATGTAAATAATTACATCTACCTAAACAGTTGCCATTTTTCTCCTTGGTTAAAAAATATACCTAAAGCACAGCTTATGAGAGTTCGGAGAAACTGCACTGATCAAAGCACTTTTGAGATTCAGGCTATTAAAATTAAACAAGATTTCATGGAAAAGGGGTATGAAGAAACCTCTCTCATAAATACCATTGAAGAAGTAAAAACCATGGAAAGAACCTCATTGCTAAAATATAAACCTAAAAGCAGTAATGAAAACATAAATTTGCCATTTATTTGCAATTTTAACCAAGAAAGTCCTAAAATTAAACAAATAATAAACAAACACTGGCCCATGCTAAGGAACGATCCTATGCTACACTCTATATTACCAGAGAGACCGAAATTAGTATATAGAGGAGCTCCCAATTTAAAACAAAAACTAACACACAACCACATTAAAGAAAATACACCTACCCCCTTTTTTCAGAAAGAAGGTTTTTTTGGCTGTGGACAGTGTCTAGCTTGTAGAAGCACAAAAAGCACAAAAAGGCACATTACAGAATTCTATGACCCAAAAGGGGAAAAGAAATACAAAATACGCCAAATGATCACGTGTTTTTCCAAGAGGGTTATATATATTTTAAAGTGTTCTTGCAATTTATTCTATGTAGGTAGAACGAAACGTCCCCTACAAACACGAATAAATGAACATATCAGAAACATTAAAAAAGGGTACGATAAACACAGTGTTTCAGAACACTTTAGTTTAATACATAATAAAGACCCCCAATTTCTAGAATTTATGGCAATCCAGAAAATTACACTTAACTGGCGAGGGGAAGATGAAATTAGAAAATTAGGAAAAATTGAAACAAAATGGATTTTTAATCTCAACACTCTAGCCCCTACAGGTCTAAATGCAGACTTTGAATTATGCCATTTTTTATGAATCAGACTATATATATATATATTTAAAATATACTAATCATCATCATCGTCTCTCACTGGGTCTATTTTCTTCTGCACGTTCTCATATAAGGGTCCCCACTGCTTTGAACAATGAATAATTAAATGTACATATTTTCATGCCAATTTTACATATTCATATTAATTAGAATAAACCGCAGTTGGAATTTTACCGAGGAAGCCGTTTTTACTGGCGAAACGCGTTTTGGCTTTTAAAGTGGACTCATCAATTTTCTTAAACCACTAATACTTGCAATACTTTGTTCTTATTATTATTTTTTATTTTCTAGAAATATTTTTATATTGATTTTATATATTCTGTAATAAATTCCCTTATTTTATACTAGCCACTGTATCCAGCACCAGTGATGCCAGGGAAGGGGCAGTGTCACCCCACAAATTGACACTAGGCTTATATACTTAGAGCCAGTTACCAAAAGGCTCTAAATAAGGTGAGCACTTTAACTTATTATTTAAGTGTATGAAAATATTACAAAGGATGCTACACTTAGTTGGATAATTCTGTGTCTTTTATATATGTTGTGGAGAAGAAAATACACATTTTACCTTGGAGAAATGGATCGTGTGATCTACCTTTAAAGACACAGATGCACGGAAGTTTAGAGCCTAATTTACTTGAAAAGGCTCTAAAAAATGTGAGTGTAGATATATCTGTTACTCACCAAAATCTTTACTAAAGTATTTGACATACTGCACAATTATCTGTATATATTTCTGTTTTCTTTTGTATGCACATTACATTGGAGAATATAAAGGATAATTGTCTTATAATCACAGGTAATTCACTGTGTTCTCACATATAATACAGCGCTGCACTCATAAAGATAGAAGACCTAAAGGGTGGTAACACCCATTAGGCCTGAAATCTTTTCTGTATCTTGGTGATTATCCTTTAAAAACACCACTAGCCCCCTTGCCTCCTCCCTCCCCCCGCCTCTTTGCACTCCTAAATACACTAAAATCTTAATTTTATTCCCATCTGCTGCTGCTGACTTTCCCATAGGAAAGCATTGGATTGGCTGAGACTGTCAAGGTAACAGGTTAGGGGCAGAGCTAGCACAAGTCATACACAGCCCTGGCCAATCAGCAATTCCTAATAGAGATGCATTAAATCAATTACAATCGGGCAATCTCTGATTTTACAGCATTTGTGTAGCATAATCCAATAAAAAGATTTATTTTTAAATTCATGATTTTTTTCCATTTATTTTCAAATCACGTTAAAGAAACATATCATTGAAACAGGGATATTTAAATTGCCCTGCAATCCCTCCTGTTACACGATGCAGGATATAGAATTAGTGACTGGTTTGAGAAATACACCATGTCTCTTTATACATACATAAAACATATCATTTTATTTACTAAACAGTGACCTCTGCTCATTTGCAATCTATATTTAAACCACATTCCAGAATTAAAGAGCTCAGACTGTTAGCCTGGAAAAAAAATCAAAAACTGAAGTTGTTACCAACTGTAACTGAAACGTTAATCCTTTTACTTTTGTAAAAAGAGATTCAACATGTCAAAGACTTACAAAAGCACCTATCTTTGGATTTTACCTTACTCACACATAAGCCATCTGTCAGGATACTAGTTGATCCAGCACGCAGAATTGTACCACACCTAGGACTAAAGATAACGTCTTACCGGGCCTTAGAATGGATGGACTTAACGTACCAGAGAATAGTCAGAATACTTGCCGAGGTCAGGAACACAGAAGGAGACACAACGATGAGGGAAAGCCAAAAGTCAAGGATACCAGAATTCAGGGAAGTCAGAACAAAGCCAAAGTCAATAACCAGAAATAAACGCTCAGGAATACTGTCTCAGATAACCTACTAAGGGAAACCACGACAGGGCACTGACAAAAAGGCAATTTGGGTTTAT